GCTGACATTGAGTTGATGGCAGCCAACATCACGAAGGTGGTCAGAGGCATGATGGGAGGTCCAGGAGGGAGCAGGAGAACCAGACCACCCAGAGTCTTGGGGTCACTATAAGGATCTGCCTTCTCCAAGGTCTGAAATTCAGAAATGAATTCCCCACCCGGTTGAGATCACGAATTCCAACTCATGGTGCCCCCGTGTGTGTCAGAGCCAACCTGTGCACGTCATAGTGCTCTAGGGCTCAGTGTTTGGAAGCAGCTCTCCAGGACTGTCTGCTAAAGTACCTCAGGATACATCTGAACCTCCAACCTTGCAGTTAGTAGCCCAGTGATATTAACTGTTTGCATCACATGGGGATGGGAAACATCTGAACATGGATGGTGGAGGTGGCTTCGGGGTGAGACTGTCCCAGTCCAAACCCCACATGCTTGTGATCAGCTGTGTGATCTTAGGCAAGTCACAGGGCTTCTGCTAACCTCTAAACTGCGACAGTGACCATGGTGGTACCTGTCGGGTGGCCGGACTGAGCACGTCACACACCACCCACCCACAGGGTTTCCAAGGCTGTAAATCTTTATGGAAACAGATGACCTCATCCTTCTCCTACAGGGCAGCTGGTGGGTTTGTACTCTCCAACCTCGTGACTAGTAGCAGAGTGCTTAATCCACTACACCACAGGGCTTCTTCATGTTGTTATTGTTGTTGCTAATTTCCGTCAAGTCAGTTCTGACTCACAGGGACCCTGTATAGGGTTTCCGAGGACCGGCTGGTGAGTTTGAACCCACTGACTTTGCAGTTCAAACCAACTTCGCAGCGCATTAAGCCACAGTGCCACACCAGGACTCCAGGACCTGTGTAGGGGATGGGATTTACAAAACATCTACTGGGGACACAATTCCATTCATAAGAAAGCTTCTGATGGGTCTTATCAAGGACTCACGTGATCCTGAGGAATCTATGATTTAATTTTATTTTTATGTCAAAGCGGAGTCCCCCTCTTGCCGGTTTCAGGAGCTGTTTTCTGAGCAGGGTCCTTCCACGGGTGTCCATCTCAGCTTCCAAATCGCATTTGTTAGGGCCATTTTCCGCTCGGGCTCATCTTCCCTGGGCAAGGAGCTGCTATGGTATTAATTGATTTCAAGGTTTTTGAACAAATCGCCGTAAATATTTAAGCCTCCGCTTTGCCTATTAAGGAAAATGCCGTCTCAGTTCATTATTTTTGCTTCTGCCTGCCAGGAATATTTACACAGAGGACAGGATTATTATTAATTTTTTTAGGATTATTTTTAACCTTTGTGCAAACTCAGAAACCTTGAGTCTAGAGGGTCTCTCTCTGTTGACACCACAATTATTCCTGAGGCCCAATATACCAAATTCCTGAATGTTTCTGAGGATTTCTGTTGAGAAAATGTCCAATCATCTAAAGTTCTTACTGACTGATTGCTCTTGGCTTTTTTTTTTTTTTTTTTTTTTCCGAACTCAAGCCAAATGGAGACTTTGGTTTCGGCTACATTGTGTTGGGAGTCCCGGTGCCACATTGCTGGTTAATGTGCTGAGACTGCAAGTCTGCTATGAACTGCAAGGTCGGTGGTTCAAGCTCACCAACTGCTCCTCGGAAATCCTATACAGGGTCGCTATGAGTCAGAGCTGACTTGGCGGTACTTAACAACAAACAACATAATATGTGGGTGTTGCCTCTTCCCAAATGTGAGGACTCCGAGGGCAGGGGCCACAGCTGGAACCCCCAGTGGCGTCATGGCTGACACAGTAAGCAGGTAGCAGGCTCTCTGGACATGAACATTGCTCCATGTTTTAGCAGTAGTTAGCTGAGCGGCAGCGCCAACGACTAAGGATGACCTGTGTTCATGTTTGAGGTTTGACATTGGCCTTCTCAGTAAGGTGAACTTAGACCTATTACTTATCACCTGTTACCTCACCGAGAACAAGGACCTGGTGTTACAACACTGATGGTGTGCAGTTGTCAGACAGGCATCGGATGTGAAACCACAAGGCTGGCGTTTCAAACCCACCAGCTGCTCCACGGAAGCCCTGCACAGGGTTGCTATGAGTCAGAATCAACTTGACAACAACAGCAAACCATCACTTGTCTGTTGTTGGACTGTGGAGGCTTGCGTGTTGCTAAGGTGCTGGAGGTGATGCCACTGGTCATTCAAATGCCCACAAAGTCACTCATGGTGGACGGGTTTCCCTGGGGCCTCCAAACTAAGAGAAACCAGGAAGAAAGTCCTAGTGACTGACGTCCAACAACTAGCCAACAAAAACCAAATGATCACAGAATACTGTCTGAGACTTTTCCTTTTAAACCTTTTCCTATGAATCGAGTGAAAGTCTACAGCACAGATCAGTTTCCCATTCAGCAGTTCGTATCCTTTTTGCTTCATCTCACTGACTGAGATTACATCACTCATTCCACTTCCTCCCTGGGTCTTCTGTTCCTATACTGTCTTAGACTTGGACTCTCTTCCATGGATGTGTCCTCAGGAGGGACCAAATGCATTGTATGGAATAAAGTTGGCTGGCACATGACTACAACAGTGAATGATGAAGATGCACCCACAAGGATAGCATGAGGGAAAGTGCTCGTGTGGTGTGGTGGATGGATGTAAGGTTTAGGGAACGGAGCCATCCGGTACCAGGCGCGGTGTCCTCTATGTAGTAACCCTCGTTGCTGCTGAGTTGATTTCAACTCCTAGCAGCTAACAGGACACACAGAAGTGCCCCAGAGGGCTTCCAAGGTTGTCAGTCTTTACGGAAGCAGATCTTATCTCCCATGGAGAAGCTGGTGGGTTTGAACTCCCGACCTTTTGGTCACAGCAGTCAAGCTCTTAGCCACTGTGCCACCACGACTCTTGCGTAGTTGTTGTTGTTGTTGTTAAGTGCCATCGAGTCGGGTCCGACCCATAGCGACCCTGTACAGGGTTTCCGAGGGTGTAAATCTTTACGGGAGTAGAAAGCCTCATCTTTCTCTCGCGGAGCGGCTGGTAGTTTCGAACCGCTGACCTTAAGGTTCGCAGCCCGATTCGTAACCACTACGTAGTAAGAGGTTAAAAATTGCCTAGATATGCTCCAAGGATGCTTATTAGGTACACTTAATGTAGGAAGTCCTGGAGTCCTGGTGTGGTGCTGTGGGTTAATGCACCAAACTGCAAATTCATTTGAACTGCAAGGTCGGTGGTTCAAGCTCACCAGCTGCTCCTCAGAACCCCTATACAGGGTTGCTATGGGTCGGAACTGACTTGGCGGCACTTAACAACAAATGCAGGAAGGGAGTCCTGGTGCAGTGCTGTAGGATAAGCACTGGATTGCTAGCCATAAGGTAAGCAGTTCAAACCCATCAGTTACTCCTTGGACACCCAGTACAGAATTGCTATGAGTTCGAACCCACTGTAAGGTACTTAACAACAGCAATGTAGGGAGTGTACCTAATAAACTAAAAAAAAAAAAAGATGTCTACTTCCCACTCCTGAACCCTGAGAATGTGCACATATACGGAGGGGTTCTCGATATGGGGAGACTATCATGGCTTTAAGAGTGAGAGGGAAGTTGGAGGGCTGGAGTCAGAAAAGGCAGACAGAGAGCAAAGACTGGGAGATGCCATGCTACTGGCAAAGAGAGAGGGCGGGGCCGACAGCCCCAGAAGACTAGCAGTCTCTAGCAGAGGACTCTGTGTGACCACAAGGTCGGTGGTTCAAATCCACCAGCTGCTCCTCAGAAACCCCATACAGGGTTGCTATGAGTCAGAACTGACTCGACAGCACACGATCACCACAACCACGAGAAGAATGAACAAATACATGTTGGAAGAAGTACAGACAGACTGCTCCTTAGAGGTCAGAATGACGAGGCTTCATCTCACACACTTCGGACATGTCAAAGTACGTCTGGTCATCAAGAGGGACCAGTCTATGGAAAAGGCCATCATGCATGGAAAAGCAGAGGGTCAGCCCAAAAGAGGAAGGCCCCAAAGAAATGAATTAACAGAGTGGCAGCAACGATAGGCTCAAACGTGACAAAGTCTGTACGGTGGTGCAGTCCGGGCAGAGTCGTGTTCTGTTTACACAAGGCTGATGACACCCAACCGCAACTGTATGAAGAGCTGATGTCTGGCCTAACTTTGAAAGCCACCAGGCTGGAGCTCTGGTGTGGCGCTGTGGGTGAATGCGTCAGACAGCAAAACTGTTTGTACTGCAAGGTCGGCAGTTCAAGCTCACCAGCTGCTCCTCGGAAACCCTATACAGGGTGGCTATGGGTCGTAACCGACTCTACGGCACTTCACAACCACAACAGGCGGGCACTCAGTTAGGAAAGGGCCACTGCAGCCACAGGGTTGTGTGCTAACAGCAAGTTGGTAACGCCACAACCCTGGGCGACAGCCCATTCTCTCAGGGCATGAAAGAAGCTTCATCAAGAAGGGAGAAAATGCTCTGATACGTGCTATAGCAAAGGTAAAGCTGCGTGGGCATTATTAAAGATAGGAATTTGGGAGACGCTTTGCTTCTAATAACATCGATATGTTCTTCCTAGATTAGGTACCCAGGTTGGCTCACTCTGCTTTTGCTGAACAGCCGGCACTAGTAATGCCCTCTTGTCCAGCTTTCCTGTGCAGAACATCCCACAAGGAGCACTCACTCTCTTCTCACACCCCACCCCATCCTGTCCCCCACCGCAAGAGTATTCCCTCAATGGTTTTGACTGTGATGATGTAAGAAACTATTTACAAATGCAACTAGCTCAAATATAAGGGGGGGGGGGTCCAAAAGTTTCATGGGAAAATTGCACTATCTTTCAGTTCCATCATGAAAGCAAAAGTTCTGTGAGACAATTCCTATTCTTACGATGTGCAATGAGCTCATCTATTTTCTTGTTCTATATTAAAAAATACAATGCTGGCCATGCCCCATACACAGATGTAGTGATTCACCAGTGGCTTTATAGCCAGGAGTGGGCTGTGCTTGCAGTTTGGAGGACTGGGGTCCCCTTACCTCTGGGGCGATGTAATCTGGAGTCCCACAGAAGGTCCTGGTGGTAACGCCATCCATCATGTGTTCCTTACACATCCCAAAGTCAGCAATCTTGATGTGTCCTTCCGAATCCAGCATGACGTTGTCTAACTTCAGATCCCTGAAAAGAAGCGGGCCAGCATCAGTGCCCTCTGATGGCATCACATGGTCTGCCTGGAGCTGAGGCAACAGGACAACTGACCGGCTGACCTCTCAGTGCAGATTAGCTCTAAGCCTCCTGAGGGAAGGGGCCATGAGTGAATGTGTTTTCCTGTCTCCAGCATCTAATGCAGTATCTGAGACGTGATGCATAATGCATGCATGCTGAAGGAACGAATCAAACAGTCAGTATTGTAGGTTGTGGAGGAGATCCCTGACATTTGATTTCTTAATAGTCTGCACGTGGGTTCTGATACACACGTAAGAAGTACAGACAGAATGTTCCTTAGAACATGGGAGTTCCCAAATCTGGGTTTTAGAATAACCTCCCTGGATTTTGCAACAGCCCTTTCCACTATTCTGAATGGAGTCCCATACCCTTGTAATGACTTTTCAATGAAGACTGGCAGACAGTCTGCTCTGGCTCTCCAACCAGAGGAACAGAGCTCAACAGTCTTCTTCCCTTGCCTCTCCCCAGGTCCCTATCTGCTTCTGCTGCTGAATATCTATAGCAGAAATTGAGCTTCCACAACTCCTTGACCTCAGTTCCAAATCAAAGGCAGAGCAAGGAACTGTCAGTGGAGAGAACAGTATGTATGCTTGTGGCAAGCAGAAATGAGATATCAAATCTTTGAGGTCTGGAAATCATAAGGTGGCTCTGCTTTGCCTGGAGGCAGCACAGGAGGGTGGTCCCAGCAGGCCTCCGCTAGCTCAGGGGTCATCAACTCTGTGTCTCAATTCACATGTCCACAGAAGCCCTGCACCACCCTCCACGGTATTGCTGGTGAGAGCCATTCAATACACACCTATAAATGATTCCTCTTTTATGAAGAAAGAATAAGCCAATGGAAATCTCGGCTGCATAGAATCTGCAAAAAAAAAAAAGGAGCTTTTCAGGTTTGGGGGGTTCTAGCTTACGTCTTTCTGGAGCCCTGGAGCCCTGTGCCCTCTAGTGGAGGCATTGAAGGTTTGAAGGACCATAGATCCCTGCTGTTATCTGAGATCAGCGTCACCCTATGCTTGTTCTTCCAACCTTTCACCTTTCCATCCTTTGCTTTATTTATCCTCCAGTGTCCCCAAGGAATGACACAGATGATAAAACTGGCGAGACAGGCCTGGGAAAACCTGCTTCTTGTCTGGAGTAGGTGGATAGGTCATTTGCTGCTTACAGAGAAATTTGTAATGCGATCTGCTAAAGAGTGGAGCTGTGGTAGTGCAGTGATTACATGCCTGGCTCTTCTGCTCCATGGGAGAAAGATGAGGTTTTCTGCTCGTGTAAAGATTTACTGACTCGGAAACTTTACATGAGGTCGTTGTGAGTCAGAAGCAACTAGTCAGCACAAAACTACCACTGAAGAGTGCCTACCTACTAGACTATTCTATGCCAAGACCCTTGAAGACTTCTCTGTCTATTCAGAGACAGAACACATCGCTGTTTGACAATACAGTGACTGCTTGACAGATAGAGCCCCGGGCCCAGTGAACTCGAGCTGGTTAGCTCACCTGCCCTGATGCTGGGATCAACAGAACATGCCTGCCCATGGTGCAGGCCTGACTTAACCATCTCCAATAATTTATGGAAAATAACAGCAGTTACTATCATCATTCCAAAACCGCTAACAGGTTCACATCAGAAACTCAGATTCAGTGCTGAATTGAAGGATATTTTTTAATGTGCATCGTATCCAGGAGTCTGTGATGTCTGAGAAGCCACAAGACTGTGTTTGTGCAAATATCACACCCGGGAGGCACACAGATCTCCTTGAGCAGAGAAAAAAAAATCCAAAGAGGAGAGGACTAGACCCAGTCAGAAAGGGGACATATCTCAGGCTGGAAGGAGAGGGTTGGGGGGCGGGAGACAGAAGAGACACCGTTGTTGGTGACATTTATGTTCTTTTACGTGTGTCCCTGTATTTTTAAAATGCAGCTTTTTTGCAGCACAGGTATAACGAAAGGGGCTCACACTAAACGTCTTTATATAATTTCCGGGCTCTGCTTGGCCAGTCTGCTCTTTGCTCCTTAGAACCCTGTGGTGCCAAAGCTTTACCTTATCATCTGAGCATGACTGTTTTATAAGTCACAACATAAGAGAAGGGATAAGGGTAAGGGATAAAGATGCCTATCTTTCTTCCATGGAGTGGCTGGTGGGTTTGAACCACTGATCTATCAATTAGCAGTCTGATGCTTAACCCAGGATGCTACCAGGGCTCTTTCCAGAACACTCTTGTTGTTGTTGTGTACTGTCGAGTCGGTTCCAACTCATAGTGACCCTGTATAGGGTTTCTGAGGCTGTAAATCTCTAAGGGAGCAGAAAGCCTCATCTTTCTCCTGTGGCGCAGCCAGTGAATCTGAACCGCTGACCACACAGCTAATAGCTCAACACATAACCTAATGTGCCACCAGGCTCCCTCAGAACACTAAGAAGTCAAAATAAAAACAGGAAAACCTCACTTTCCATGTCTTAGAGTAGCTGCTGAAGCATGCTGTCTTCTGCCTCAGCTTGCTCCTCCTCGTGGACAGATAATCTGGTTCCTCTTCTACATGAAGACCAGCCAGAACCCTACGACCATCTGCTCACTTGATTAACGGCCGTGCATTGTAGCCACAGGGCAGTAAAGGAGCTGTTTATGTGTTACCTGCTCTGCTGAATTTCTGGGGACTTTGTATACACTTTCCAAGGAGTGGCTGGTGGGTTTAAACTGCTAACCTTGAAGTTAGCAGTCCAATACTTATCCTACAGCATCACAGTAGGACTTCCCATGAAGATGCAGTTTCAGAAACTGTAGGGGAGTTCTACTCTGTCCCATAGCGTCTCTATGAGTCAGAACTGACTCGATGGCAGGGAGTTATTTTTATGCGCAGGGGTTACAGTAAACTGCTCTTTAGGAAACAGCTCCTAGGACCCTTCTAGGGACTCTGTACCCTGGGAGCTTCTGAGGGCCAGAGCCCACAGCCCAGAGTCCCATTTCCCCAGTTGGAGGGCCCCTGTTGGGAGTTGTGTCCAGCCTAAAGGGAGAGACGCTTACTTAACACCAACACACGCCCATGTGTACTCACACTGCTTGCGGCTCCTTAAATTTCCCGACTTGCTGAATGTGGTACATGAGGTCCCCACCGTTGACATATTCCATGACGAAGTACAGCCGGTCCTGGAGACAAGCCGAGAGAGTGAGCAGGCCTCCAAGGCCCCACAGAATCCGCTTCCACCCCACACCAGCACAGCGGGGCACACTGCACAGCTAGGGAGCGGGGAGTCCTCAAACATTTCCCCCCAAACAAAGAAGACTAAGTAATAAGCCCTACAGCAGGAAGGCCTTGGGAAGCATCAAACCACTGCGGAAGTCTGAAACCATGGCTCCCTGCCAACACATCTGCCCCCCTCTGGTTACATACACATCCTATTCTAGGGACGGTGGCCTGGAGCATTCGCCTCTTCGAAGCATTTCTAGGTGAGATACAGAGGGAAGAATTCACGGTAGCCAATTACTTATTCTAACTAGTGTCTCTGGATGGTCCCAATGTGTAAGAATGAGTTTGCAATGTCTAGGAGGCAGGCCACTGAAAACAAATCAGATGACATACTGTGAATCAGACATGATCAAGGATATTTACTGTGTTGGCTGGGGCGGGTGGGGGGAGGGCACAGAGCTGACTAGGAATGAAGGGGCGAAGCCAATGTTCTTATGCTTCCACATGTTGCTTTTTCTTTTTCTCTGTCCCTGGTAGGCTAAGTGTCAGCCCCACAAAGAGCACGTGTCATAGAACCAAGCAAATGTGTATACTGATTAGGACGTTCACTATTCTGGGACTGATGGGGGTGATTTAGGATGTTTAACAGCAAAACAGCCAGCCAGCATGGCACAAGGTAGAAGGTGACCTCTGCTCTCTTCTAGAAAATATCACTGTTTCACAGAAGTTATTAAACCCTGAAAATGTTGCAGAGGGGGCGGGAAACAATGGTGAAGCCGGTGCTAATGGCCAGGAAACAGCTCTGGGGAGCGTCAGCCTCTAGCTTTCCTGCTCGGTACTCTAATTTCATCTTTATTTCGGTGCTCCGTAGCTTTCCAGAGTGTAATCAGTGTGATGGGACTGTGAGCCTATTGCTCTTCGCCCCCTCGTGGTACTGGGCTGAGTTCCTGGGAGCTGCTGGGAGGAGGAGCTGAGCAAGCTGCCAGCTCTAGGGTGACACTCAGTGGCCAACACGGTCAATGCATTCCAACACCCCGAATCTGTGTGGGTGCGCTGCCTCAGAAAGTCTCCCGTGAGGTTTGAGAGAAACCTGACCAATAGGAAGTGGAGAAATAATATAATGGCCAGCATAACTGTTGGCACCTATGGTCAAGTTGGTCCCGACTCAGGCAGCCCCACAAACAAAGACACAAAATGCTGCTTAGTCCGGTTCCATCCTCAAGCTGAGTTGTGGACTGGACCCTTGTACTCCATGGGGTTTTCACAGGCTGATTTTCGGAAGCAGACTGTCAGGTCTGTCTTCCTGTTCTGTCTCTGTCTGGAAGCTAATTAGAGAGCAGATAGCAACTTGCAAGTCTCTGTCTCCCACAAATATTCAGTACAAAGCCCCATCTTAGAAAGGCCAGCCTCTGAGGAAGCTCACTACTAGGCATGCTCCTCTGTGAGGCTGCCCAGAGTCTGTATTTCCTGTAGACCACTCACAAATACTATGCCAAGGCTTTGTCCCTGTTCCCCCAACTACTGATGGAACAGTGCTTCAGGATTTTGGTGGAGTTTTATCATATGACAGGTATCCATATAAAGGACTAGATAGTAAACATTTTAGGCATTACCGTCCACATGTATGATGTTGTTGTTGTTAGCTACCATCCAGTTGGTACCAACTCATAGTGACCATATGCACAGCAGAATGAAATACTGCCCGGTCCTGGGCCAACCTCACTATTGTTGCCACACTTGATCTCCAGCACCAATTTCACCCTGCCTTTCTAGAGCCTAAGCAGCCACGGATATAGGTACATAGTGTGCCGAGAAAACTAGACTGAAATTGTAATTTCATCTACTTTTCATTTGTCAGGAAATCTTGGGAATTTTATTCCCAACTTTTCTTAGCTCATACAAAATAGGCCACGGGCCACAGTTTACTAGTTCCTGTTATGTGCCATGAAACAACAACAAAAAATACCCTTTTCACACAACCCTATCTCCTAACTTTCTGATATGATGTCTGGCGGTTGGACCTGTGATTTTAAAAAGCCAGGACTATTGTTGAAGCTACTGCATCCATCCATTTCCTGGAGGGCTTTACTAGTGTTCACTGGCTCTCTCTCCACTTTATCAACCACAATGCCCTTGTCTACAGGTTGGTCTTTCCTGATGGCATGTCCGAAGTGGGTGGGAAGTCTCCCCATCCTCTCTTTTAAGGGGTATTCTGGCTCTGTCTCTTCTAAGACTGACAGCCACCGATTAGTAACCTCTATCTTAAAAAGGACAGAGTCTTGCTTTGCCTTATTATGTGTGTACTTTGTTTTGCATCTCTGAGTCTGAGGTCAGTGTCCAGCATGTAGGAAACCTTGAGTATAAATGTCTGCTAAATTAAGCAGAAGGATGCCAAGCCACAATCAGGAGACACCACAGAGGGGAAAGGATGCCTCACATGCGCCCGCCCGCAGGCTGTCTACCCCTCTGGCTGCAGGAATGCTGGGGATCAGGGCGGAGTGGGGGGGGGTGGCGAGCTCTCACCACTGTCTGGAAGCAGGAGTGCAGCTGCGTCAGGAATGGGGGCTTGTCGAGCAGGGCTAGCACTCGCTTCTCCACCATGGTGCATTCCACGTCATCGTCCTGGATCACCACGTCCTTCTTGAGGATCTTGATGGCGAACAGTTCCTCTGTGCCCTTCCTGTCAGCGAGCATCACCTGAGGACAGACCAAGAGCAACCCGAAAGCTCAGGAACATGCACCTGGCATGAGAGGGAGGAACCAGGCCAGCTGACGGTACAGTGACAGTCACATTTCACACAGATCTGCCAATGTGTGGTATACAGAAAGCCACAAGGTTTTATTTTATGTGGGAATTCTAAAACATTGCACATCACCGCCAATTAAACTCTCCCCAGCCCCTGAAACAAATAAACAAACCCACCCACAGAGTCGATTCCAACTCAGAGACCCTATAGGACCGAGCAGAACTGCCCCATAGGGCTCTAAGGCTGGAAATCTTTATGGGAAAAGACTGCCACGTCTCCCACTCACAAAGCAGCTGGTGGGGTTTGAACCACTGACCTGTGGGCTAACCCCAACATTATATAAGGTCTGGCGCTGCAGGACTGCAATGTTGGTTTGAGTTGCAAAGCTGGTGATTCAAACCCACCAGCTGCTCCTTGGAAACCCTATACGGGGTTGCTATGAGTCAGAACAGACTCGATGGCATTTAACAAAAATACAATTTCTAAGGAGCTCTGATAGTATAGTGAATTATGAGCTGGATGCTAACCACAAGGTCAGCAGTTCAAATCTACCATCTGCTCCGTGGGAAAAAGATGAGGCTTTCTTCTCCTATAAAGATTTACTGCTTCGGAAACCCCACACAGGGTCACTACGAGCCGGAACCGACCCCATAGCACATCATCATCACCACCACATAGCTTCTAAGTCATCAAGATTTGCCCATGATGCAGGCAGGCAACTGCCAGCTGATGGCGCTGTTTGGCATGGTCATTGGAATCCCCACATCCTGTGTGGAAATTAGTCTGACATTTAAGCAGAATTTTCTAGAGCATCCTTCGAATACAATGTAACAGATGGAACACGTTGGTAAGATTCTTGCCAGTCAGAGCAGAAGTAGAATTAGAAATCAGTTCCTGGATTTCTCATGAAATTCGGGACCAGAGATGCCAATGCAGAAGCCGATAACCAGCGAGTCCAGCTCAGCATCTCTGAATTACTGCATATGCTACCTACAAGGAGTCCTGGGATGGCTCTGTGGGGTAAGAACTCGCCCTCAAGGTCGGTTTGAACTACAAGGTCAGTGGTTCAAACTCACCAGCTGCTCCTCAGAAACCCTATATGGTACACAACCACCACCACCTACAAGTACACCTTTCCTCTTCAGTGGTGAGGATTATTCGTTCAAGTCACAAACACTGTGTGGCACCTTCTCTGCTGTGGATATTGTGGAAATGGAAGCAGGAGGCTCTCTGTAGCCTCTTGGATACACCTGTTTTTAGTGAAATGAAGTGGGAAATCTCAGAGAAACATGTACAGACAGCAGTGGAATCTAAATGGCTCTTCTGGAAACCTCAGAGGTAACAAAATAGACCCAGCATCCTCCAGGCTACAGCTCACTTCCCTCCCTCCCTCCCTCCGTAGACAAATGATGTGCCACCCTACCTTTCCAAAACTCCCCTTCCCCAGGACCATGAGGAAATTGAAGTCTGTAAGCTTCACTCGGTCCAGGTTGTTGGAGGGTTTCCGGTCCTCTGAAGAACTGATGATCTTGTTACCAGCAGGACCCAGCTTGGCTTTCTAAATGACAAACACAAACATGAGAACCCACTGGGGCCCTTGTCTCAGGGAGAGTGAGGTGTGACCGAGGAAACCGCTCTGTAACTAAGTTTGATGCCATTTTGGGGGAGAGAAAAGCATTCTGAGAGTGAGGAATTCCAAACTGCTCACCCATCAGTGGCTTTACTTACCTGAAGGGAGAAGCTTGTAAAGAAGCAAACAATTGCCCTTCTTTCTCTAGTTAACCAGAAATTAATCTTGGGAGCTTGCCATAGTCTGGTTCTAATTCTAGATGTGAAAGTTAACTTTGGGGCAAAAGCCATGCTTTGGGCCAGTTAACATAATCAAGGAAATACATTGTGTACGGATGTTTCTCTTCTTGGAGATTTTCCAAATTAAGATTAATCTGCATAAAAGAAATCTGAACCCATGCAAAAAGGGAAGAATATTGTCCTCTGTAAAGAAACCATTTAAATGGCATGTTATGGGGGTAATTTATTGCAGCTTTCAAGTGTGGAGTAAAGACAACAGCATGTGTCTGTCTGTCTGTCTGTCGGTCTGTCAGTCTGTGAGAATCAAGACATGAGCCAGGAAAAGCAATAGTGAGATTACTAATATCCATCTGTGAGAATGTGGTTTCATGTGAAACACACAGTCTTGGAGACTGAAGAAGACTTGGCTGAAGACAGATGAAAGGTACCAAATGGAGTTTATATAACCCTAGATCATTATCACCCAGAGATGCTGGAGAGGGCCAGGCCCTTGGTTACTGTCACATAGGGGAGTCAGAGTCCCAACACCCCCAGTCCTCCGCAGAAAGGAAGAGGGCTCAGCAGAAAAGGGGTGTCTCGACCGTCAGCCAAGGAGCCCTAAAGAGGCAGGAAGAGTCCAGGAGTGGGTGGTGGAATCCCACCACCAGACTGCAATTTGAATATGGGCTACCTGCATTGGCCCAGCATGGCCCCTGAACTCACAGTGTGGAGCTGTAGGATCAGCACTGGACTGCTAACCACAAGGTTGATGGTTCAAACTCATCAGCTACTCCTTGGAAACCTTATAAAGGGTCGCTATGAGTTGGAACCAACTCTACAACACTTAACAACAAAAACTGGAAGGAAAGTGCTTTAGCAGTTGTGGTTCCTCAACTAGCTCTGAATTCCCACCTCAAACACAGCAGAAGACCCCCGACAAGCTGAACTAGCACAGTGACGACAGCAATGGACGCAGCAGTAGCAATGATTGTGAGGTTGGCAGTGTTGTGTCTAGGGTTGCTGTGAGTCGGTACTGACTCGATGGTGCCTAACAACAATAACAACAACACAGCACTTGGTACATACAGGATGTACACTCAATCCTCCCACTGAATGAAGGACCCAAGGAAAGTCTGAAGATGCGCGCCAAGGGCTAAGCTGTTGAGCAGATGCTTTTCTCTTAAGAAAGAGATCTCATTTGCATGGGGATCAAGCCTCAGTGCTGGAGCCTATAGGCTCACAGGAAATGGACAGGCTGGTTTTTAAAGCAGGGACACATTAACATATGGAGGTGGGAGGGAGATGGGCTGCTTCAAGGTAGAGTACTTATTGAGGGTGTTGTTGTTGTTATGTGCTGTGGAGTCGGTTCCGACTCATAGCAACCCTGTACAGGGTTTCCGAGGCTGTAAATCTTTACGGGAGCAGAAAGCCTCATCTTTCTCCTGTGGAACAGCTGGTGGTTCCAAACTACTGACCAAGAGATTAGCAGCCTGATTCGTAAGCACTACGCTACCAGAGCTCCTTCCACCTCTATTTAAGGAGCCCCTGGTGGTGCAGTGGGGTAAGCATCAGGGTTGGCAGTTTGAAGACATTAGCGGCTCTGCAGGAGAAAGCTAAGACAGCGGGCTTCCATAAAGATGTGCAGCCTGAGACAGCCTACAGAGCAGCTCTACTCTGTCCTGACAATCGCCATGAGCTGCTGTCGGTTCTGTGACACAGGGGTGGGGTCAGTGCTACTCTATTTGCAATGCATGGTGGGAAGTGCTGTGAACTTGGGACCTGGGACTGTGATGGGACTCAAACTGGCCTCTGTTGGGAGGGGAGGCATTTTAAGAAACATGAGAAAGATGGAGGGACTCAACCAGGTGGGTTTCATCTGGACCCTTCTCCAACTGCAGGTCCAGTCCATCTCCAAGTACCTGCCCCAGGGCTGGTCCCCAGCTGACACATCTTCTGGTCTGTATATACATTCAAAAGCAGCAGCAGGAAGCTGTCCAGGTTTGAAATGAGTGGGCCACTCTGTTCTACCTTTCTGATTTAGAGAAGGAGAGAGTTTTCAGAAAGTGGCCCAGAGATTGACTTTATCAGGAGCATCACAGTAACTTCTGCAAAGACCCAGGCGCAAGGGGCTCACTGCTCCAAGGCGCCGGAAACAGTGGAAGAGCGTTTTCATCTGGGGGGCGTTGCTATTCTGATGCCGATGCCCAGTATCCATCTGTCAGTCCCAGTGCCCGTGTGTGTGTAGGATTGTGGTTCTGACCAGATATTCCCCACTCGTCTGGCACTCCTAAGCAGGAATTTCTGCTTCCTCCTTGGACAGTTCACCACCATAGATGATGAAGGTGGGCATATATGCTCATGTAAGAAATGGGAACCCAGTAGGCCTCCCATGGGGGGCTATTTACATAGGGGGCATCTCCTGCCTTCATTGGAGACCAAATGTAACAATGGCTTTGAGTGTGTTGCCCTATGGATGACCTTAATCTAACTGGTGTTATGGGGGCCGTTGCGTCAGTTTGGATTCATAGCGACCCCAAGTACAACAGAACAAAACATTGCCTGGTTCTGAGCCAGGCTCACAGCTATGTTTGGACCCATTGTTGAATCACTGTGCCAGTCCTTCTCACTGGGGGTCTTCCTCATTTTTGTTGGACCCTACTTTACCAAGCATGATGTTCTGCTCCAGGGGCAGGTCCCTCCTAATAACGAGTCCAAAGTACTTGTGATGAAGTTGTACTTCTTCCAAGACAGGTTTGCTTATTCTCATGATACACTCAGTATTCTTTACCAACACCATCATTCAGAGGCATCAATCCTCCTTTGGTCTTCTTTATTCATTGTTCAACTTCTGCACGCATATGAGGTGACTGAAAATATGTGGGCTTGGGTCACGTTCCGTTAATCCTCAATTTGCCACCTTTGCTTTTTAACACTTTGAAAAAGAGACCTTTTGTAGCAGTTCTGCCCACTGTAATCTGTTGACTAAGGAGCTCTGGTAGTGTAGTGGTTACGAATCGGGCTGCTAACTTCAAGGTCAGCAGTTCGAAGCTACCAGCGGTTCCGCGGCAGAAAGATGAGGCATTCTGCACCCGTAAAGATTTACAGCCTTGGAAACCCTGTGCAGGGTTGCTATGGGTCGGAACCGACTCCATGATATTTAACAACAACAATCTGTTGACTGAATTCCTGACCGATGCTTCCACAGGTGTTGATGGTGGATCCAAGAAAAATGAAATCCTTGACAACATCACTCTCCTCTCCCTTTATCATGATGTGGTTCATTGATACAGCTCTTAGCATGCTGTTTTCTTTATATTGAGGCATAATCCACTCTGAAGGCTGTAGTCTTCGATCTTCATTAGTAAGTACTTCAAGTCTTCTCTGCTTCTTCTAATAATTGTTGTTAAATGCCTTCGAGTTGGTTCTGACTCATAGTGACCCTGTACAGAGTTTCCAAGATGTGGCTGCTGAGTTTGAACTACTGATCCTGTGGTTCAAACCGACCTTGTGGTCCAGTGCTCTATCCCACATCACCACTTCTAATTAAAGTCATAATTAATTACAGGGACAACAGTTCCCCATAATCAGACAAAAAGGGATATCAAGACAAATGCATTTTTATATCCAAGTACTTCTGAATCCAGGGCAGAATGTTCCACCCCACTGAAATATGACCTTGGACTCTGGTCTGCAATTAATCCTGCAGACCCGGAGAAACATGGACCAAGGAGACTTCTGTTTCTGGGAGGTACCTGATCCTCACATCTTTTTAGGAAGTAGCAGATTGTGGAGACTGAGGTAGCTGGTGGTTCTGGGGACTGGCTGGTTGGGCAGAAGATCCAGGCTGGATCCACTGGCCATAGTCATCATCAGAAGTTGCTTCTCAGCAGCCTGGCCAGAGGTTGAAAATGGATTTTTCCCTGCCCAGACCTGGCCTGAGATAACTGAGATCTGATGGTCACCTTGCAGCCACCCAGCCAACCTGGGTGGCAATTTCCCAACATTTCCCTATAGAACTGGGGCTTCTAAAGCCACTTTGCCACCTGTAGGCCTCGCTGCTAAAGGACACGGGAACAACCTTCAATGTTATAGGGTGGAGAACTCCATAATACCACAAGGGCCTGAGTTTGGTCAAGTCCTCAAGCATGGGGTTGGGAGAGACGGCCAGTACATACCCTGGCTGTTTTGTCGCTGGAGGGTGGGGAAGGTAGGGGAACCATAAAGAACCTCCAGAAGTGTGGTCTACACAGCTGCAGGTCAGGGTTGGAATGCCCTGACTGTGGACCCACACCCTGCTTTGCCTGTGGCCTGGTGATTGATTCCTTGTCTTGTTTGTTCACTGTGTTCCTGCCATGTGTGTGCCATTGTGATCCACCAACCCACTGTACCTGTCTGAGCCATCCCCATCCTCAGGGGCCTGGCAGCTTAACTCTCATTTCCTCAGAGAACCCGCTCTCTAAAGACTTCCTGCCATTTTTTTTAACCACACTCTGGTCTTTTCCTTAGGAGTCTGGGTGGCATAGTGATTAAAGCACCTGGTTGCTCACCAAAAGGCCGGTGGTTCAAACCCCGCAGAAGAAAGATGTGGCAGTCTGCTTCAGTCAAGATGACCGCCTTGGAAACTCTCTGGGGCAGCTCTCTGTCCTGTTGGGTCCCCATGAGTCGGAATCAACTCAGCGGTAGTGGGTTTGGCCTTTTCCTCAACAGCCTGTCAGTCTTTAGGGATGGGTTTAGTTTATTTCATGTCTCTTTCAATCATATCCTATAGCT